ATCCATACCCACTCTCACTAACTCATCCACACCCACTCACTAGCTCATCCACACCCACTCACTAGCTCATCCTCGCTCACTCTATCTACGAATGGCCATACAATTTCCACCAACACTAGATAATCCGCACTTATTCACTCTACCTTGACTACAAAAGCCCACACTCCTTTCATCCACTTGTACCTCTACACAAACCTACATTAAGCCCTTTACACCTACCCTCCCTAGTCCCATCCACAGTCGCTTTCTGTAGCCTCATCTACACTAGGTCATGCACGCATACCCGCCACCACTAGCCCCATCCACATACCCGCCACCACTAGCCCCATCCATAGCAATCCCATCTGAAACAACACTCCCCCCCCCCTTCCACCCCAATATACATGAGTGTTTCAACACGGGTCGACACTGGACCCCATTTACACGCATCCATGTTCAAGAATACACGTTATCATCATCCACTCCCAACAATACTTAACTCTCCACACTAGTTCTATGGTCTATATTTAGTCACACTCGTCTATTCACAACCAGTCACACACCAGCCTCAACCGTCACTATCCCTGGCTGCTCCATCCCGGAACTATTCACACATGCCAGTACTAGCCTCATCCACCCCCACCCTGTGTGCACTAGCCTCATCCACAATAATAATAATAATAATACAAATTTATTTACAAGAAAGCACAATGAGTTTGTGAGATATTTTTACACTCTTGCAAAACCACTAATACGCACAGTGTTTCGGACAATCACCCTCTATATAACAGCCTAATTCACTGTAACCCTCTGTATATTAGTTACATTCACAGTAACCCTGTGTACACCAGCCATATCCCCTATTACTATGTATTCACCAGTACAACCACTCTCACACTATGAGAGGGACAGTATGGTTTCCGAACACGAAGATCCTGTGTAACAAATCTACTTAGTTTTTTATGATAGAGCCACAGAGATTCTACAGGAAAGAGATGGTTGGGTTTACTGTGTCAATCTAGACCTAAGTAAGCTTTTGACAAAGTCCCACACAAAAGGTTCCTTTGGAAACTGAAACATGCTGGAGGTGGTGACAAGGAGACTTCTGACATGGATAAGAAAAATTCTGCAAGAAAGATAAGGGAGGTAATTAGAGGCAATGTGTATCTGGAGGAATGTTACTAGCGGAGTACCTCAGGGTTCAGTTCTTGCACCAGTACTGTTCATCGTCAACATAAACGATCTACCAGAAGGAATACAGAATTATATGAGCATGTTTGCTGATGATGCTAATTAATAAGCTATTAGAGAAGACAGTAATCGTAGATGATTGTGATGCTCTTATAATGGACCTAGATAAAACAAGTGCTTGGAGCACCATTTGACAATTGGAATTAAATGTGAATAAATGTCACGTTATGGAATGTGGAATTGGAGAAAATAGACCACACACAACCTATAAATTATGTGGAGAGAACCTAGTAAGAACTCTAATAAAGAACGAGATCGAGGGGTGGTTTTGGACAGTAAACTCTCACCAGAGGAACACATAAAGAACATTGTGAGAGGAGCGGATGCGTCGCTTTCCAACTTCAGACTTGTTTTTAATTATATGGATGGTGAAATACTAAAGAAACTGTTCATGACTTTTGTGAGACCGAAATTGGAATATGCAGCAGTTGTATGGTGCCCAAATCTCAAAAACCATATCAGTAAACTGGAAAAGGTGCCACGACATGCTACTAAATGGCTTCACGAACTGAAAAACAAGTTATGAATAGAGGCGTTAAACATGGCAAAATTTGAAGATAGAAGAAAAAGAGGCGATATGATCACTACAAAATAATAACAGGAATCGATCAAAGTGACAAAGACGAATAACTGAAAATGGCATCCTCAAGAAGAAGAAGAAGAGGCCATAGATTCAAGCTAAGGGAATAATGTTACCGATTAATATGTTACCGAAAAAAATAGAAAGTTTTCTTTTGCAAACAGAGTGGTAGAGGGTTGGAACAAGCTAAGTGAGAAGGTGGTGGAGGCAAAACCCGTCAGTATCAAAGCGTTATACAACAAAGAGTACTGGGAAGACGGGACACTTTAGTTACACCACGAGCGTAGCTCTCATCCTGTAACTATACGTAGATAATTACACTCTGTCCACCAGCCCTATCCAGTATCCCCCTGTGTCCATCAGGCCCATCCATTATCATCCTGTATGTTCCAGCTCCATCCATTTTCATCATAGCCTCATCCACATTCACCCTGTGTTCACCAGCACTAATAATAGTATCTCTGTGTACACCAGCCACATTCACACACAACAATCATATCCACACCTACCAACAATAGCTCCTCCACGCTTGCCTAATCCAAACCCACCCTGTACTAATCCCGACTCTGTACTAATCCAATCTACTCATATGTGTTATATTCACACCCATTCTCAGCCACTTTATACACCACCGACTTTATTTGACCATTCGAAGCATTGCTTTAAATAGCAGGGGTGACCATTCAAGGACTTTATTTGGGTCCTCTCCTACTTTATACACCAGCTCTATACTAGCCCCATCCTTGCCACAAACATGACAAGGGTGTGCTGTACACGGCACCGGACAGTCACGTTCAGGCTAGTAACTGGTATGGTGACGCGCTGACAACGTTGCTCTTGGGGAACCTCAAGAACCTGACAGGTGTGTTGTCCTTTGACTATGGTATACTATGCCATACTATCTTCAGTTGTCATCTGCATTATCCAAACCACCACAGTTCACTTGCGTCAGTCTTATCATCCCACTGACTCCAGTCCCCTAACAGTAGCTCATCTAAACTCACCTAAAATTATCGCCGAAGTACACCCAAACAAATTCACCCACACCAAACTGCAGCATACACAACCACCATTCACAGTAACCTCATCGATATGCGTTCACACTTCACTAAAACACGAACCTTAACGAGGGTCTCCACTCTGGCAGTGTTGACGGGAAAATTCACGAAAAACTTGTTGCTGGCTTCCATAAACTTTTCGAGGTCGACCCTGGGTGGCGGAGTTACTCTGGAGGCTCCCTTGAGGTACTCCTTCACCACTGCTGAGTCCCACCTCGGGTCGATAAGGCTCGCCATAGCTCTAGTAGGTCTGCTGATGTTAGGAGTTGTTTTTGGGCAGGATTCTTGAGTACGGTCTTGAAGAGGCTCGAGACGAGGTCCAGCACACGATCCTCAAGACGCCCGAAGACCTGCAAACTGGCGTAAAGAGGAAATGCTGATCAATGTTATAGAAATCAGCCCCATACACTGTCACCTTGTGTCCACCAGCCCCTTACACTATCACCCTGTGTCCACCAGCCCCATCCACTGTCACCTTGTGTCCACCAGCCCCTTACACTATCACCCTGTGTCCACCAGCCTCATCCACTGTCACCCTGTGTCCACCAGCCCCATACACTGTCACCCTGTGTCCACCAGCCCCATACACTGTCACCTTGTGTCCACCAGCCCCATATACTGTCACCCTGTGTCCACCAGCCCCATACACTGTCACCTTGTGTCCACCAGCCCCATACACTGTCACCCTGTGTCCACCAGCCCCATACACTGTCACCCTGTGTCCACCAGCCCCATACACTGTCACCCTGTGTCCACCAGCCCCATACACTGTCACCTTGTGTCCACCAGCCCCATACACTGTCACCTTGTGTCCACCAGCCCCATACACTGTCACCCTGTGTCCACCAGCCCCATACACTGTCACCCTGTGTCCACCAGCCCCATACACTATCACCCTGTGTCCACCAGCCCCATACACTGTCATCCTTCCCCACTTTTCCCCCATCTCCCTTTGTCCCCATTGTCCTCATCTCCTTGGTCGCCCCCTTCGTTCATCACCCTAACCTTTCCCTGGTCTCTTCCCCCTTCTTTGAACCCTATCCGCTTCTTCACCCTATTGCCCCCCCCCCTCGCCCCAATTCCCTAGAACACCCCTCGGCTCACCCCCCCCCCCACCTGTTTCCTGCACCTCAAGAAGTTTTGAAACAACTGTATGATTGCTGTTCTCCTCTGCCTTCTTCTATTTTCCTTCTGCATTTATTTCTAGCATTAAAATTCCTGTGGGTATGGATATTTACAAATATTTGTAGAAGCATTTAACTTCGACATACCCCGACCAGCCTATGTACGTCCCGTACCTTAGACCATTCCATCTGCCAATTTGGGTGAGGGTAGCCCAAGTGTCTGGGCTAGCCTTCTCTCAAAACCGTCTCTCTTTTCTAGTATAGATATATGGATACATATATAACGTCTGTGCGTATTAAGCTTGGTGGATATACATAGGTGTTCGTCAGTTCTGACCCTGCTAGCAGGTTTAGCTCTTTCTCTTCCAATAGCTCTCATTCTAAGCCTTATCCAACTGACTTCCTCTGGAACAGCCAGCGGTTATGTTACTGACGATGAGGCACGAAAACGTGGCAGAAGATATGATGACCAGACCACACACCAGAAGATGAGGAGACGACGACGACGTTTCGGTCCGGACCATTATCAAGTCGAAACTTCATCGTCTCCTTATCTTCTGGTGAGTGGTTTGGTCATCATTAGTCTCCGAGCAGAGCAGTCTCCGTGGTGTAGTGGTAAGACACTCGCCTGGCGTTCCGCGAGCGCTATGTCATGGGTTCGTATCCTGGCCGGGGAGGATTTACTGGGCGCAATTCCTTAACTGTAGCCTCTGTTTAACGCAACAGTAAAATGTGTACTTTGATGAAAAAAAAAAACGATTCTTCGCGGCAGGGGATCGTATTCCAGGGACCATAGGATTAATACTAGTACGCGTAGCGTTTTGCCCGAAACGCTACGCGTACTAGTGGCTGTACAAGAATGTAACAACTCTTGTATATATCTCAAAAAAAAAAAAAAAAAAAAAAAAACATTACCGATGTTAGTTTGTACTTCAATGAGATTGTGAGCTGAGTATCTGGTATCTGAGATCGTAAGGTCCCTGATTATATTGTCATTGTTCGTGAACACCTGATTTAGAATAATTTCGTTCCTAGTTGGCTCTGTTATCTGCTGGTTGAGTGAAAATTTGTCACAGAATCTAAATAGTTCTCTTATCTGTGGTTGGTTATGTCCAGATAAATTTCCTGGTATAATATCACTTTCCTGAACCGTGGACACAAGAGGGAGTCCGTCGGGGGTCACTTGAAGCCGCCCGGATGTTAGTGTTGGACATCTTTTTATGTCCGACGAACAAATATTTCTATAAAATTCAATTCTTATCCCATCGACTTGGGGATAGTATGAACATGTTTACCATAAAATTTACGTTTTCTTTAGTAGCCACATAGCCTATTTGGGAGAACGGCATTGTTTTGTATCTTCGTGGTAAAACTATTGTAGATCGCCGATGTGCGGTAACAGATAACACTTCGCCCTCTTCCCACACTCTTGCGGGTGGGCCGCGATCATCATTCTTCATTTATATGCATATGTTCGTGTAGGGAATTTTATTGCGATCTCAAAGATACCAAATTTAACGCTGTAGGACAAGTGTGGAGTTGACAACCCTGAAAAGAATGGAAACATCTCGTCGCTGTTTGGAGCTCATGCACTAGCTCATGGCAAGTGATCCACGTATCTTCTTTATTGGTAGTGGTTTAAATCACAGTTTGGTGACATTTTATACATATGTTCTTCTAGAACATTCTATTGCGAACACATTGGTAAAAAAATGAAATCTGTACCTCGAAAATTAAGATCAGGACAGTGAAAAGAGTGTACACTTTTCAGTGTTTCCGCTCGGTCGCCTGCAAACGCCGAGAGCACATTGTGCTAACTTTTTTCCTTGTTTGCCGGGCGCACACGGGCGCGTGAAAGTGATATTATTGTTTGCTATTCTCCATCTTAGGCTAGGCAGGTTGAAGTCACTTAGGAAGATAATATTAGGTATCGGGTTTGCCAAATTATCAAGGCTTTTCTCTATTTTGTTTATCAGTTCTGCGAGTTCCTCAGCCGTTGCATCTAGCGGTTTGTATATTAGAATAATAACTAAGTTTATTTTCTCTATTTTTACTCCCAGCACTTCTACCACCTCATTTGTAAAGTTAAGTTCATCCTGTCATTTGTACCCAGACACAGCTGGGACTTGCCTAACTGTTTGAAGTGAACAACTTATCAAACAGGAAGTTTAACAGTTGTCAACACTTAAAATTTGTTGTATCATGCGGGTGCAAAATGGGGAAATCATTTAAGATCAGGATCTATATTTGACAAATAGTGTGAGTTTATTGGGCATCACGAAGGACTTCATCTCCCATTCGGTATCCGGTGTCTGGCTTCCTATTTGCTCCGTCTAGTTTCATTACCTTATATTTATTCGGGTTGAACTTTAATAGCCATTTGTTGGACCATTCCTTCAGTTTGTCTAGGTCATCTTGTAGCCTCATACTATCTTCCTCCGTCTTAATCCTCCTCATAATTTTTGCATCATCAGCAAACAATGAGAGCAACGAGTCTATACCCTCTGGGAGATCATTTACATATATCAGGAACAGTATAGGTCCTAGGAATGATCCGTGTAACGTAACAGGAATGTTTGCTGGTGTAAACGTGTGCGCTTGCGCGATATGAGAGCGCAAATAGCAGTTTACAGCGTTCATTCACTTGCTCCAAACAGTAAACATAATTCATGACGATTCGATTGGCGAATCGAATCTTAACGATTCTTCGCGGCGGGGATCGTATTCCAGGGACCTGCCCGAAACGCTACGCGTACTAGTGGCTGTACAAGAATGTAACAACTCTTGTATATATCTCAAAAAAAAAAAAATGAGCACCCAACGCGTTCCTTGTAAAAGAAAATATTGACAAGTGGCAACTCGCACCCAGAGTTACCACGTAGCCAAACAACAGTCACTAATATAACAATACTCATAATTTACCTGCCGCTGCTGTTGCTGCTGTGGCGGTCTCCAAGCACTTAAATATGTCTTCTTACGGTCGCCACAGACGGACTGACGGGCCCAGCGACGACTACACCCCGTGCACTTGTGCAGTAAAACACGTGGTGCAATATCTGGAGCCGCAGAGGAAGGTGTGACCGTGTGAGGGTGGCGGGGTGCGAGACTACGGTAGAGGGACATGTTAACAATAGTCGGGCTCTCAACTCCACTCCAGGTCAGTGAGGAGCAGATTGCTCGAGTGTGGGGGGGATTAGGTGAATAATTCCAAGTAGTTTAACTAGAACTGGAGACCTGGAACCTGATTAGTACAACAGTGTATTTCAGATGTGGCACCACTGTTGTTTGGTTGCTGGGGTGGGGGGGGGGGAGGTACATATATGATTATGAGTACACTCCTAATTTGTGCTTGTGTGCTTGTGGGGGCTGAGTTTGGATTTTGGGGCCCGCCTCTAGCTCTTGACTGTCAATCACTTGGATTTACAGATTCCTGAGCCTACTGGGCTCTATTTACATTAGAAAAACGATTTTCACACAAAAAAAATGTTTCTAATGTCTCTGTGACTCATTTGTGTACTCAGTTTCCACCTGTGTTCCCTTGTGCGTGTACTCAACTAGTTGTACTCACCTATTTGTGCTTGCGGGGGTTAACTCTGGCTCTTTGGTCCCGCCTCTCAACTGTCAGTCAACTGATACACAGGTTCCTGAGTCTACTGGGCTCTATCATATCTACATTTGAAACTGTGTATGGAGTCAGCCTCCACCACATCACTGCCTAATGCATTCCATCTGTTAACTACTCTGACACTGAAAAGGTTCTTTCTAACGTCCCTGTGGCTCATTTGGGTACTTAGTCTCCACCTGTGTCCCCTTGTTCGTGTACCCCTCGTGCAACCCGTTCTCGCAAATTTAATAAGTCAATATTGACTTATTAGTTGCGTGCATAGGTGACATACTAAACATAATAGTTTCCCTTGAAAAGCTTCATAGAAAACACCGACCTTATCTAACCTACTTAGTATGTTAAAATAAGCATCTTATAGCTTCGTAATTACAATTGTTACTTAACCTATTATAGGTATAGGTTAGGTAATAATTGTAATTACGAAGCAATAAGATGCTTATCTTAACATACTAAGTAGGTTAGGTAAGGTCGGTGTTTTCTATGAAGCTTTTCAAGGGAAACTATTATGTTAAGTATGTCACCTATGCACGCAACTAATAAGTCAATATTGACTTATTAAATTTGCGAGAACCTCGTGTTAAACAGTTTATCTTAATCTACCCCGTCAATTCCCCTAAGAGTTTTGTAGGTTGTGATCATGTCTCCCCTTACTCTTGTCTTCCAGTGTCGTGAGGTGCATTTCACGCAGCCTTTCCTCGTAACTCATGCCGTAACGTATGCCTCCCGTATGTGGAGAGGATGGAGGCTAGTTTAAGATTCTGTAAATTAAATATTTTTTTAAACAATTAATAATATACAACATATATATATATATATATATATATATATATATTATATATATATATAATAATACACACACACACGTGCATCCGTATACATATTTTAAGAGCATTTTACGAGGGCTGATGCATTGGTGAGACAGGCCCATATATCCATCCACAGCAGAGTGGACTCAGTAAATATGTTATCAACACTTATCTTGACAGGCTCATCCCAGTATATCAACTTGTTAATCCCACCCTCGGTGCATGCTGCTTTGGGGTCCTGTCGTACGGTCCCCAGGTGTGACCCCCGTGTAGGGCCCCATTAACCAGGGCCTTTTCTGAATCAAATTTGACCCAGTCTGCTTCAGGAGGCTGGGGTGGTTCTTCTCCGGCCCCGACCCCCACGGCGATCTCTGGGTTTGGAGGTCTCTGTGCCCTTTTTCACCAACTTCGAGGTCAACCCCGGAACTCTCAGTTCCTGCGACGGCGCTGGAACCAATCGTATTGGCGTATGCCTTTCCATTGGAGACTTTCAGCGCCGTGGAGAGAGGGGGGGGGGGACCTGCTGCCTGGGTAACAGCTTCTCCCCCGAATCAACCTACCCTGGCTTTGCGCCCTGGAGAGGCCACTCCAGACCAGGCCGACACCAGAGCGCAACTCCATAGTCTCCCGAGACTGATGGATGCCTACTACTACTAGGAAAAAAACGAAAGTTCCAAACGTTTTCGCGTTTCAAGACATTATCCAGGAAATACAGGACGTCTGTATTCCCTTGATAACGCGTTGAAACACGATAACGTTCGGACACTTTCGTTGTAATTTCCTAGTGGATACTAGCTTTTATTTTTTTAGTTTTATTTTCATAGCGGATAGAACATATTTTTCCATTACATTATGTAGATTCATGTATATATCTTGCGGATCATAAACAACACATAACCCGCCTCGCTATAAACTTTCAGGAACAAATCGATCCTCACGTGACGGTCCGAAGTTTGCTGCCTGACACAACACCACCTGTCAACACTGCCTGCAAGTGCCTCTAATATTTACCTGCAAGTTGCTGCCACTCCAAGAGTCTGGTTCGCCTGCTTCTCTCCAGACTCCAGGTAAGTTGCTTGCGAAGTGTTCGGCGATGGTGGAGTGCGTGGGATAATTAGATACTTGCTTCCTGTGGTGGAGAAAATGTAAATTCACACATGTTGGTCTCACCGAGTCGCTCTGCGGCCATGAGTCAGGAACTCGTTTTCTCAAATTTGATTATCATAGAAAACAGTTTCTCTTGCTATTTACGGGGTTACTAGTATAAGCCAGACATATTCTTCAGATTTGTTTTTAATTATTAAATCTGCTGTTATAGTATTAAAATATCATCACGTGAATGATTTAACAGTAAAAAAAATAATTTGAGCTAACTCCATGTTCAGAAATTTGTTAAAATTGCTTACTATTAAATTTTGTACATAACTGTGTATGTGTACCTTTGGTTAAGTAATTTGATTATTTATTTATTTATTCATAAGTATCAGATGTTATTTATATGCCTCCTAAAGTGAACGAGTAATTTGTGTTTAGTTTAGTTCATTTATTATGCACCCTATCCCCACACTTCAGTTAAAAATCCATTATAAATAAGAATTGTTGACTCAATGTTGCATCTTGCAGAGCTGTTACCACAGGAGTTACAAAGTTGACCCTTTGTGCTCACAGTATACAAACATGTGCACATATGTTATCCTCCTTAGTGCTGTGTTTAAACCTAGCTTGTTTAGTCTTTATGGAGAAGTTTTGGTTCGAACAGCGTGGTTATGCGACAAGGGGGATGGTTTAATCCTCCCCCAGACAGACCGCGCAAGTGTTTGCTACTGTAGAAGAGAACACCAGCCCTCCATCTCTATAGAAACAACTTGTAGAATAAAACATAAATAAACATTGTCATCACACCACAACTGTCAACATTGTCACCAGTTGTAAGTTGACGCCTCCACCACCAGCGGCAGGATGGACACTGGCAGCAGCAGCAGCCCGGAACAGTTGACGGAGGACCTCCTTACGGAACACCTGCGTCAACTCGCCCTGGTGGAACCACCTCCCACAGTGACTCTTCAGGAGGTAATGGAGAAGAGTGATCGCTTCCCCGTTGTGTTTCCAGTATACACAGCCAGGCTCAAGACTTTGCTAAAGGTGAGTGAGTGAGAGAGAGAGAGAGAGAGAGAGAGAGAGAGAGAGAGAGAGAGAGAGAGAGAGCAGCTTATAAATGTTTCTTATAAATAGTTAATGGCTCAGTCTTCGAATTACATTTGCATTATACATTTCCAGTGAAGCATAAATCTTATAGGATAAAGTCGTACACAATTACTAATGCATCTGTACAGAATGTAGATTATTATATAGTTTATGATAAAGACAGTACAGTAATCTTACTATGATCATCAACACACAGTTATCCCATTAATGATGTCAATACTGGTAACTAATGTATGGGTCATTAGGACTTCTTCAGTTTCCTTTTGTTGACATGTTCATGACATGTTCTTATTACTTCCAATACATCTATGTTTGCTCCTATGGCCCCTGACCACCGCTGCTGCCCCCTGGCCTGACGGGCGACGACCTTCTTCAGGGCGGCCTGCAGCAGGAGAGCCTGGAGGAGCAGGTCAACTCGACCTACCCCCTCGTCCACGCCCGGGTCCTGCCTCTGCTCGCAGCCTTCCTTCATTATAAGAGAACCTACGGCAGGAGGAAGGAGAAGTGGGTACTGTGTGGACCTGTTTTGTAATGGTGTGGTGGTATAGTGGTGGTGGTGGTGTTGTGATGTGTGGTATTGTGCAGGTGTCGTGTGCTACTGTGTTCATGTGTTGTGGTATTGTATTGTCACTGAGGTGTGGTGGGATATTGTTGTGTGGTATTGTGGTAGTGAAGTATTGTGTTGATGTGTTGTGGTAATGTACCCATCTAGTTGTGCTAGGTGAGTATATTGCCGTGGGAGTGGTGGTGTGATGTGGTATTGTGATGGTGTGATGTGGTATTGTGGTGTAGTTTTGTGGTTTGCCAAATTGTGTTGAGGTGCATAATATATTATGCATAATTAATTGTGTATAATATACGGGTAGATGTATGTATGTAACTCTGGAAGATACAGATATTGATGTGATGTTACACAATTACTTGTATAATACTGCTGTGTTGATAACCAAACCACACATCAGAAGAGGAAGGAACGACGACGTTTTGGTCCGTCTTGAACCATTATCAAGTCGTGTGTTGTCAAGACATGAGTTCCAGGACGGACCGAAACATCGACGTTTCTCCATCTTCTGCTGTGGGTCGGTCGTCATATCTTCAGCACATTACTGTGACTCATCTTCTGCATTGCTATTATATTTTATACGTGCGAGTAAATATATGTGCATTAGCACATATTAACTTAGGTACTGAAATACATTTCTTTGTTAATGAAGCCAGTCGTGTCTCCCACAGAGAGCTGTACTCCTCGCTGAGCCTGCTGGACCTGGTCGACCGCCTCCTCAAGAAGCGACCCATCGTCTTCTTCACCCCCATCGACAACTACGTCCTCCGGGATGGCACTGAGGGCTGCGACGGCTTCGAAGAAATCGGCCACTCTCACGAGCGTGCCAATGTGTGCCTACAGGAGTACATGAGCTACGATGA